ATTATTTTCCTTTTTCTTAGGGTTTGCTGTTTTCTTTTGTAATTGTTGAAGACTATTGTAATTCACTTGTTCAGTAAATTTCCCAAAGTTTTTGCAAGTATTTCCTCCTTATCACGTGTGATCGTTGAACCCATTTTTTCTTAGATTATATTCAGCTTGGGTTTTGACAGAGATACAGTATTCTTGAATGTTGTTGTTGTTGTTGTTGTTGAGAAGTGGATATTAGAGTATTGTAATTTGGTAACTCTCAAAATCATATTTTGCCTTTCCCTGGGGTTTGCTGCTGTTTTTGTCATTGTTGTTGTTGTAGTACCAGGGATTGAACTTGGGACCTTGGGCTTGTGAGGCAGGTGGCGGAACCACTGAGCTAAATCCATGGCATGCTGGTTTTTTTAATTGTTGAAGATTATTATATTTCACTTGTTTAGTAAATTTCCCAAAGTGTTTGCAAGTATTAACTCCTTAGATTGTGTTCGGCTAGGGTTTTGACAGAGATACAGTATCCTTGAACGTCAACAGCTATGGAAAGCAACAAAAACAAAGAAACAAAAACCACAATCTCTCCCTGTGTTCATAGACGGGTGTCATGCTGTGGCAGACTTATATTTGGCTAAGCTTACACTGATCTTATAGTGGCCATATTGTTTTCCAGAGATTTGACAAACTTGGCTTTTACATTTTTGGCTTGTTTTTCATTGTTTCTGTGGGAGAATGAGTAATTGGAGTATCATACTCTGCTAGTTTTCTGATCTTATTTTGCTTTCTTTTGTTGTTTTAAAGAAATTATTAATTTAAGAGGAATAAAATATTTTCTTAAAATAGTTTCTTTGTATTTCTATTTTATATCTGAGTTTTCTTTATGTAAAATTATGTGAAAGTATTAGAAAACTATATATGGCCATTAAATCATTAAAGTACAGATAAATTTACAATGGTAGATTAAATAGAAAATCATAAAATTCATGAATTTCTTGTATTGATTAACACTGGTTCTTAAAGCTAAGATATAGTCCTGGATTTTTATCTTAAATAATTAGCCTAGGTGATGACGAAGGCAAAACTTAAAAACAAACAAAAAATGACAGCACCTAAGTCTTATGTATTAGATAAAACCCTAAAGGCCATAACTAATACTCTGTCACCTTCCCCTCTAATCTTTCCCCTCTCTGTGGCTGCCATTCTTTGCCCTGACAACTCTGTTCCTATAGATAATGGTTTTGCTACATCCTGCTTCTATGGGAGCCTATTTCTTTTTCTTCACCAAACCAAGGGCACCCAGATGTGCTAAATTACACACTGTCATTGCTTAAATAATTGCCTGTGTTCTGCTTCTGTGTAAAAGGAATTGCATAGCGTCTGTTCAGGGCTCAGAATTTGGAGTGTCAAACTCCTCTGAGCCCACTAGTGTAATAAAACTTGGTTACCCTCCACCTCTTTGAGTACTGCTCCATTTATTTGTGTGCTGTTCTTACCATTACATAGGGAGGCTGATAGTTACTTTGATTCCTGAAATGTATTATGCTTAGTGGCTACTGTGTTTATGGGTGAAGGGTGACGCTGGCTGACATAAATATTATGCTTTGCCTTATTATGATTATGTGTCAACATATGAGTATACTTTATTCAGTTTTTTTAAATCATGTGATTTATAAGAGTTATGAATTTAATTAAAACATTCCTGTAATGTATGGTAGTTCATTTAAAAGAAAGAAGAGATTTCAGGTCCTTATTAAACCCATAGTTTGTTTTCATCTTAGTTTGAACCAAGTCATTTGAACCCCCATCATTTACTGCTAAATATCCTATATAGTTAATTATAGTTCTTAAACAAGTTATGGTAAAACTTTTTTTTTTAAAGTATGTAATACTTTTCAGAATTCATAGGTGTGATGTGATCTACTCATAGTGCTTTCAGATGTTAAACGAAAGGCACATTTGAGTAGGTATGCTTATTTATAGCATTAATCTGGCTGTTTTTAACCTAACCTAGCTTAAAATCTCTGGTTTTTAAAATCATCTGTCTCCTTCATGAAGCAGACAGATGTTTGTGCATGAAAAGTACTACAGAAATTTATTGTAAACCTTCATTTAGCATGATGTCAATAGTATACAGATAGAATCAATAAATGCTCTTAGCCAAACATGACTGCAGTATGTGTGTGTCTGTGTGTGTGTGCATTATTGGAAAACAGCCTATTCATTCTTGTAGTTATGGCTAACAGGAACCTTAGTTCAAGAATCAGAATAGCAACTAAAAACATCATATTAAACTCTCTTGCACCCTCTGTTGTTATTTTTAAGGAATACTACACATACATTCCCATTATTGTATTATCATCACACTTTCTTATAGTTCCTGATAAAATTAATACTTATTTCATTATATTTAACCTTCAAATTAAATTCAGTAGTAAAGTAACTTGTTTGTAACTTAGTATTTTCTTATGTTACAGATATGTTTTTGTCATATTGCAGCTTAAATAAAAGATGGGGATTTCTGGTTTTCTTTGATTTCTCCTACTTATCAGTGTTTGGCCTCACAAATATTTCACGCAATGAATATCTCTACAGGATGTATATAGGATGTCATGTCTATAGTTCTGCAGAATTACAGATTCTGTCATTCTTTTGTAAACCTTTCAATAGTTTCCTTCCAAAATAAGAGTCTGGAATCATCCATTCTAAAATTAAGAATTTATAACTGTAAGAACAGATGTTTTCATAAACATTTGCTATAATTAATTTCAACTAGAGGATTGAAGGAACAAAGCAGTTTTTCCTGCTTTAAAACTATATTACCTTTTCCCCATATAGCAGACTCTGAAATCTTTTCTCCAGTGTTGTCAGTTGTACTCCTTATTTGGTATGGTTTTTGAGAAAGGAAAACTGCTTTTTTCCCTTATTACCATCTTTTGCACCTTGAAAGTTAAATTTCATGTGATATCTTCATTTGGTAATAGTTAAAAACTTAAGAAAATCTTTATAATATCTTATAATAGCTGCATGTTTCAAAAAAATTTCTCATTTGAAGGATTTTTCTATTTGATCTGGTAAATATCAGCTTAAAGGAATAAGTATTCTGTTGGTGAAATTGCGTATATTTAAATAATCTTTCGTTTTAAAGAGAAAGAAGGTTCTCATTTTAAATGTATAATATAGTACTTATCCTATGCTGATTATGGAATGTTTCACAGGAAATGCCTGCAAGCTGTTAAATAACATGTGTTACAGCAAATTTTCGTTTAGCAAGATAGAGACTAATTTTCCTTTCATCTTTTTCATTTATTATAGTGTTATTGATTTTTAAAAAGAAACTGAAGTATGTGCTGTCTTATCCCTGTTTTTAAAGAATTAGCAACATATACCTAGTTAGGTTGATAATAAACATTTAAGTTTTGTGGATTCTTCTGTAAATTGTCACATTTTGTGAGTATAGTAAATCATTTTAGCATTTGTTAAATTTAAAATAAAACACCTGTATTGTATTTTGAAAAAGGAGTAGAATTAATAGTTCAGGAATTGGGCTAAGTCAAATTCTCAGAATTCTGAACACATTGTTAGACCTGCAAAGATCTTGAAGAGAACCAACATTCGTGGCTAATCTGCAAGCTATAAAATATGTAAAAGATATAGGTAGCTGTCATTAAAATTACATTTCAGCTTTCAGTAACCATTTAATATGTAGGCTAATCATGTAAGTTTAGTACCTTAAGCACTATACTCAATAATTTAAAATAATTTTATCTCTAAACTGAAAGCTCCATAATTACCATTTGACTTAACCAAGACCACTGTGCTTCTCTCCAATGGCACCTTAGATTGTTCAGAGTAGATCAAAGTATAAATTACAGTTGGATAAATCATTAAATTATTAAGCTTTACATGTTATAAAAATGAATATAACCTGATGTTTGAAAGTTACATTGCAGGGATTAGGAGTACAAAATGTAATTAGATTCTAGTCTTTTAAATTTGTTTTGAAGAACAAATGCCATATTTAATGGTATTATACAGCCCTATGGTCTTATAAAAGTGTACTTCTGAAAGTGAAGGTATTAAAATTTTGTAAGAATTTTGTATTTTAGCACTTTAAAAAAATTTAGTTAATTTTATTCTCTAGTATATAAACTTATATGCATGAATTGGTTCTAAATCTGTTGGTTTTTTGGGCAAATATGACATTTTCTTGAGGGAAAATAGCTTTTTTTCCCCCTACATATTATTATATAAGACATGACTGCCTTTTTTTTTTATATAGCTATTTTTTTTTTTTCTTTTTTTTGTACCGGGGATCAAGTTCGGGACCTTGCGCTTGCAAGGCAAGTGGCTGGCGGCACCACTGAGCTAAATCCCTGGCCCAGGACTGCCTTTTGATTCCCCACCCCCACCCCATTTAAATTGCTGAACTTACAGTAGGTGAAGCATAAATTTGTGGAAAAAACTTTTAAGGTATATTTAAAGTTCTTTAAAATGCATTATTAATCACCACTTACCAAGTCTGCTTACTGATTTACTTCTTTCCTGAAGAAATTTCTAAGTAGTGGAAAAATGGAAGCTTCAATACTTTCTAGATCTGTTCTTTGCCACACATATTTTTTATATGTACCAGGGATCAGAGCAGGTGGTTAGTCACTAACAACAGCAGTAAAAAAAACTGCATTTGTTTATAAACATTAGCTTATAAGTAAGTGGTTTATAAGTTTTGGTTTTGTCTGTGATTCTTCAGAAATTACCTGCATCATACTTCATTTGTTTCTCATAGCAGTTACTTTGATATTATTAATACCCAATTTAGGAGTAATGGTTTTGCTTTATATTTTGGCCTCTAAATCAATTTCTTGTCTAAAAGACTCAGTACAAAAGATAATGTGGGGAGGTGCAAGGGAATATATATGCTTTTTGATTATTATACACCGTAGAGCTGTCATACAGTAGTTTTTTGACTGAAATGCTCAGTTTTGCAATCTGCATTATTTCAGTGCTTTCAATTTTTTTTCCAGGAGATTCAAATAAAAATGGAAGAAGAGTAAGTTCTACCTTAGACTCTGAAGGGACTTTTAATTCATATAGGTAGGTGATGAATACCCAGGTACATAATTTTACAAGATAATGTATGACACATAACTTTTATGGGTGCATAATCTTAGAATACTAAGGAGCTGCTACCTCTGCTTTTAAAAATATGGCATTTTTAAAGAATATTGTATTATGTTACTGTATACTTATGACTCACAGAAAATGTAATATCCAAAATTCTTCAATAAATGGACTTACTACAGATATCTATTGTTATCCTATAATAAGGTAATTGTATTAAGCTTCATTATAATCCATTTTTTTGTTTTTCTAGTATTTCTTTACAATATTGAAGTAAAGCCTTTCTTATGTATGTTTTCTGCTAAAATAGAGTATGCTACTGGGGTGTGGCTATGAGAACTTAAAATTTAATTCATGGTTTAATTAAGTGTTGTCTATTTGGGCTCTTTAGCAAATAAAGCAGTTATATCTCAGTTAGTAAATTTTAAAAGGCTATATTACTTAACAGAATATATATTTTATCTTATATTTTGTTAATATTCTCCTTATACTGTAACTTAAATTTTGCTTAAGTAAATGTTTATGAATTAGTCCCTTAGATAAATCAGGAAGAAAAAGGATTAAGATGTTTTTAGTAATAACTGAAAATTCATATACTAAATGACAATGATACAAGAACTTGATCATTTGAAGGGGAAAAAAATGCAGATTCAGCATTGATATATCTAAGAATTATAGCTGGCAATTCAGATGATTGAAGAAATCCTTTGGTTAGAATATAGTGTTGTCCTTAGGATCAGTTAGTTCTAATATATAACAACACTGTAAAATATATGCAAGAACTCCTGTACACTTGGAATCTTCTTTGATAATTGAGTTACCTCCTTTTCTATGTTAAATATAGAGTTTATACTTATTTTTTTATTTGTGTATATATCCTGTTTCTTTAACTGAAACTGTGTCATTTGTTTCTTCAGATCTTAACAGGCTTAACATTTAGAGATTGACCTTGGATACAGGAGGTATTTAATAAGGATGTAGTAAATGAAGTTTTAAAAATTTGTTTATGAATTTGAGAAATGAGATGATAATCGAAACACTTGACATCTTTATATTATACTAGTTGAAATCTGTATAAATAATGACTCCTTTAATTGTCACCAGTACTACAAAAGGCTTATATTCCCAATGTGTTCTAGAAGGGTATTATCACAATAGTAAAGCTCTCCTATTACTATCGTATTTTCACCATACTCATCTTACCTTATAAATGTTGTAGTTCTCCAGATTTTTCTTCTAGTTGTGCAATATGATACAAAGCTTGAAATTTGATATACTAATAGGTAGAATCCTGCATCTGAACATGTCACAGCTGATCACTAAAGCAAGCAAAAAGAGTGAATATAAAAGATAGTTAAATAAATATTCATGATTTGGCATGTAACTGAGAAATGTTAATATGATACTATACATAAAATCTATGATAGTAATATCCTTGTTAAATATAAAAATCAAGACAAAAGCAAAAATATATTTGAAAGGAAGGAAAATTCTTAAATATATGTGTACAGTTTTTGGAAAATTACATTTTACAACTACGTTTTTAGCTAATTATAATAAATAAAAGATAAAACGTGATGTTAAGAATGATTTAATGTGAAGACAGAACATGATCTTGTAGTTCATTTTGTGCTTGAATAGTTTGAAGATTAAAGTATCTTAGTATTATTGAATAATTTTATTTAGAAAATGAACTCTTAATGCAGCTTTGCACCGAAAATACTAATTTTTAACAAAATATTTTAATCAATGTTTATCACCATTGTAATGTTAGGATATTAATTTATTATTGTAATTAAAAAGGCAAGACAAAAAGCTCAGGTACTATCATATGTAAAAGTGATCTTTTAATAGTTGACAGGCCAGTGTTGCTAGTAAATAGAATTATAGTATTTAAGGTGTGAAATGAATATTTTTCAACTCAGTAGTCAGTAGCTTTTATAATTAGGTTACTTGTGAATTTGACACTTGGGTTAAATGTAGAATTCATAGGAACAGAGCTCTAGGGTATATTTTCATATTAAAAACTAAATTATTGTAGAATCACATTAAAATGACAGTTGTCAGTAAAATTTACTTTTGAAAATGAAAATTATTTTTCTCTTGTCGCTATGGCACTGTTAAACTAACTCAAAATAGATTATCAGAAAAATGAACATCTTCCAGCCCTCAGACATTCTTTTGTGTAGCATTGCTACCTTTGTTTTATTTAAACTGTTTCAGAAATCCTAACCTTTCTTTATACTTAAGCAATTCAGATATTAAAATCTTGTATCAGCATAATAAAGTATGTCTACTTGAGTCCAGGGTGAATACTACTGGCATTATCCTTTCATCTATAACATGTAAAATAGACACTGTAATCTCTGTGCCGTCTTTTTTTCACAACTTTTTAGAAGACTGACATAAAGTGTGTAAAATAAAGCCTTTTGAAAATCTAAATGTAAAGTCATTATTCTATGATTATCTTATGTAAGCTGATAACTTTGTTTCCTCAGTTTTCACCATTAAACGTGTACACTTTTGTAGCATATATTGAAGCCTTTTTAATTCAATCTTGAATTGGCATCTAAATCTACATTTTTCTGTTACTTGCATTATTGTTGTATTAGATTGTCAAGTTTCTAGAAGGCATAGTCTCTGGGTGTTTTCAAATATAATATCTAAGTATAGTATGTCAGCTGAAATTGATTCCAAATATGTAGAAGACTTGGGCCAAGTTTGAGCTTCCTTTTCCCTACCTTTGAAGTGAGGATAATAAAATACAGTTGATAGGAGGAGTTTAATAGGGTAAAATTACATAGTGAATGATGAATAAATAATGGTTGCATTTATGTTCTAGTCAGTGTTGTAATCATCACTGTCACCATTATTAACCTTTTCATATTATAGAATTTTTTATAGTACTCTAATGTAGAGGTGCCAAAAGGAAGAGGAAAAAAAATGTCTTACAGGAAAATTAATTTGTCTGTTAGCAGAAAGGGAGCTTAAAGCTTAAAAACAAGCTTAACTTGAGGCTCAAAACTTTGTCTCCGGTGAAGTATTTTATATTGCCTTTGTATAACAAATTTACACACGTAGTAAAGTTGAAGGAAAGATGTTTTACTAATAAATTCAGAGATAGATATCTAGAACTTTTAACAAGTTTTGAAATTTAAAGTCAATTGACCTTTAACTATAGCTTCTTGTGCCTAATGCTCATGCACATATATTTTTTTAATAGCCTTGGATTTGCTTCATTGATTTAGATAGGGTACAGCTTCTGATGCCTGAGTAATAGAGAAGATCTTGTTTTTGAAGTTTTGGTTAAAATTTGACTGTGTATCTACCAACTAATTTGCAGATGATGTGTTAAAATGAAGTATTTATAAGATTGAGAAGACATTGGTTTTAGAAATGTATCTTGTACTTCTTAAAGACCAGTGTTAATATTTTCTGTCAAATGATGAGCTTTCTTTCTTATTTAGTTTCCTGATTATCAGTTTGCATAAAAGTTAAACTTCTTGACTATAGCAAAGGGCTACTTAGTAGAAGGAATATTCTTTATCTACCACTCCCCTCCTCTTTCCAAGGGCAGCTGACCTTCTTCTCTCCAAAAGAGGCAAACCCCTTGCCAGCACATATGACTACAGACTATTACATTAATCTGTTTAGCTGTAGTACCAGCTGCTTGCATGTTTTTAATTATCTTATTAGATGGTATAACAGTGACCTATGAAATAAATTGAAGGTGAACATTTTAAAACTTTCCTTTTATTAGTTTATGTTTCTGAGTATCTTTTTGATCAAACTTCAACTTTCTACAAAAGTTTACAGAAAAATCTATATATATTGCTTTTTAAAAGTGATTTTTAAAGTATAATATAATTTCCAATATAGAAAATAAGATTATCTTTGCCTCATTTATGAATAAGACACAGGTTGTGTTTATATAGCCAAAACTTCATGGCAAATTTGGCTTACTAGTAAGTTTAGTTAGCGAAAACTCAGGCCAGTTATTTGGCATTCTCTTAGAAACTCAAAATATTGCTTAATTTTTATACATCATCATGGCATTGTATAAATAGCGTAGGATAGAATCAAATCATTTTAGATTGTTTTAAAATAAATTTATACATTATATTTAATTAGAGTCTAGATATATACTAGGAAATGATGTAGTTTACTGTAATTTTTTAAATATAATTTCATATGGCACCATTTATGAGTATATTTTTCCAAGTTGTGCTATTAGGAAAAAATGTACTGCCTTCTGGATTTTGACAGTTGGATAATTTTTAAATGGAATGTGATTTCAAGAGACACCTAAAATAATAAAAAACAATGGTTGTTCAGTTACATATCATTGCCTTTAAAGATTCTAATAATTTAGGAACCCTGGTGTTGAAGATTGCAATATACTTCTGTATGTCTGTTTTGTTAATAAATCCTACAACTGGGATAGGGAGGTGATCTAAGACTACAAATGTATAAGGATTTGAATATCTGTAAAATATATTTTTAATTAATTTTATTGGTACACTTCAGATATACAATATAATGACATTCATCATTGGAAAGGTGTACCTTTACATAATATAACTTGGTTCTTATTTTTCCCCATTCCCCTGCCTTCCCTTCAACCCCTCCACCCCTCCCTATTTACAAAGAGTTTGTTTCCACTTTTTCATTTTCTCATATTAATTCCATTCCCTTCTTTCCTTTCCCCTACCTCTCCCACTTTCCCTACCCCTTTCCCCCTTTTCTATTTCACATTATCTATTATACCTTTGAATCCTTATTTACACTTTCAGTTTCTCACTCCAGAGAAACTATTTGGTATTTGCAATGTGTGTCCTATTTATTTCACTTAAGAATATCTCCTTAATGTGATATATTTCAAAAAATCTTTATTGAGAAAATAAAGGGAGCTTTCCCCTTTTATAATAACACTTTATTTTATCACTTTTAGGAAAGACAGAAAAAAGTACTTG